GCCCTGCGCCGAGTTGCGAGCGCCCGGCAAACTTGCGAGTGTGCCTCTGCTGGGGGTGTCCGAGCCGGGGGGGCGCGGAGCAGGGGAGGCGGGCGGACCCGGGCAGAACCCTCCCCGGCTGCCAAAATCCCGCGGCCTGGAGGGGGCGAGGACAAGGAGGAGGAGGAGGAGGAGGAGGAGGAGAGGGGCCCGGTGCCCCGGCCGGGCTATTGTCTGCGGCGGCCGCACAAAGAGCCGGGCCGTGGGCGCGCGGGGACCCCGGCCCAGCCCCACAACAGCAGCCCTGAGCCCCAGCCCCACGCAGGCCGCGCACCCGCCTGGCGCGCACGTGGGGAAACTGAGGCCCGGAAAGGTGAGGCGCTCTGACGCCGCAGGCCAGGAACCCCTGCTCTCCCGGGGACACCCCAGCCTCCTTCCTGCTTTCTCGCCTGGGAATTCCAGCCCGGGCCCACGCACTGACCAGCGGGCCACAGGGGAGGGGCGCGCAGAGGACCTCTTCTCCAGAGCCCGGGGCCTGGGGTGCTGTGGCCTGAGTTGGACGTTGACTTTGTGGCCCGGGGCTATTTTTACACCTTGGGTCGTTCTCTGCCCTCACTTTTAAATTCATGATTTGTTTGTTTAAAAACGAAAGGAAGCACTCCTGCTCCGGACGGATTGAACCTCCTCCGCCGCCCGCCCGCAGTCTCCTGCGGCTGGAATTCGGGTTTGGGTGTGAGCTACCTGCGTAGAGCCAAGCCCCGCCTCCCCGGGATCCTGCAGCCCCGCCCCCTCCTGCCCCACACCCGGCTGGCCAGGCAGGGAGGGGACTTCCCCATGGGCGCACCCTGGTCACAGGGGCTGCACGCGGTGGGCGGGGAGGGGGGGGGCTCGCTGCCTAGAAACACCGCAGCCCTGGCTCCAGAGAGTGTTCTACAGCCTGGGTGCTCTGCCATCCCCCTACCGTGTGACCACCTCAGGGACCCACAGTAACAAAAGTGTCCTGTGTCCCAGGTCCGAGGACTGCTGTGGACTGTCTCGAGGGTCAGATGCCCTGTGGGGGGTGTGCTGGAGGTGCATCTGGTAGGTGAGCCCCCAACACAGCTGCAGGCAAGGCCAGGGACCCCTGAGGATGGGACTCCCTGGGCCCCTGCTTTGGTCATCCCACAAGTGTTCGGTTCGGCAGGCCAGCTTCTGTCCCCATGACCCTCTCTCCAGCTGCAGACTGCTTCAGCGTGGCCCCAGCTTACTGTCATCAGTCACAGCCTCCACCCACCCCCAGGTACAGCTGGGATGCACTGAGGGGACACAAGGCGGGACAGAGCCCTTACAAGCACTGACCCTACCCATCACCCAGGGTGGCCCGTAGCAAGCACACAGAGGACCCCTGGGCCCTGTCCTTGGGGCCTGTGTCACCATCCCCACTGCTTTCAACCACGTGGTCAGGCAGAGCAGTCCCAGGCCCATGTCACCAGCTCCCTCCCTGGACACAGTGTCACCAAGAGTCCTCCGGCAGAGGACATTGCCACCCCCAGCGACCTCCAAGGATAGCAAGTCTGGGAGGGCAAAGAAGGAGGCCCATGCCCTAAGCAACAGTGACAGCAGCATTTGAACCTGGGCCACCAGAGTGCCACCCTCTGCAGGTTCCATAGGGTTCCTGTCGGTGACCAGCAATGCAGCCCTGCCTTCCTGCCACACTCTGCAGGCTCTGGGTTAGGGGTCCAGGGCAGATGGGATGAGGACAGGTGGGGTGGTGGGCAAGAAGGACATGAATGCTGTTTTCCAATGTTGGGAATCATTCACTCCGTCAACAAACATCCACAGAATCTATCCCAAGGGCCCAACTCTGGGTCCTCAGGGGAGGTGTGGTCAAGAGTGGCAAGGTGGGAGCCATCCACCAGCTCTGCCTCAGTACCCACGTGGCCTGGCCAGGCCGCTCCTCTCCTGCACCTCAGTTTCCTCATCTGTAGGGCAGGGACGACCCCACCCTGTTCCTGAATCAGGTCTGACTAAACAGGCAGTGGGCACAGTCTGGCAGGAGCAGGGTGGCAGGTAGCAGCATGGTCACTGAGGCACTCCAGGAGCCACAGTGTGGAGTAGAGGTGGCAGGCAGACAGGAGTGCTGGGGACAAGAACAGCAGGCTGAGACCCATCCTGCCAGGGCCCCAAGGGCTTCCCAAAGGCCGGTCCTTGGGGGGTGGGGGGACGAGTTCATCCAGTCAAGGCAGAGGCGAGGCCCTCGGCCCAGAAGGGCTGGTGTGGCCGTGGCCTGAGGGTGGGAGGAAAAGTCAGCAGCCTGCATGGCCAGCTGCAGGTCAGGACATGCCGGGCGGCAGCAGGAAGGCTGCTCTTGGAGGGAGGCCTGTGAGGCTGGTACAGCAGCTGCGGCACCTCCAACAGAGGTGGCTGGCCCTGGGCCTCCCACAGCCCCCTGGCCTCAGCCCTCCCCTAGGGAAAGCTGTTAGGAGCCGCTGGCACCCGGTGGGTTTCCAGCGATCCTCATTGATCTTCATTCGGTTCAGGGGCAGGTTGAAGGCTGGGGCTGGAATGCTCCAGAGAAGGCCCTGCTTCTCCCAGGAGCCCCTGGTTGCGGGCAGAGGGAGTGCAGCACAGAGTCCAGAGCCCTGCAGCTCTGGCCTGGCACTTCTAAACCCAGGGCAGGGGGCAGAGGGCTGGCACAGGCAGAATCAGGATGGCAGAGTGATAGCCCAGGAGGTGTCCAGTAGGCAGGAGCGGGGCAGGGGGTAGAGAGCCCAGGACAGCCCTGGGCAGACAAGGGCCCGCAGAAGGCACTGCGGGCTGGAGGCCACAAACACACCAGCTCTGGAGTGGAGCTGCCTGGCTGCCTGCTATTTCTGCAGCTGCTGTTTTCCACTGTCCTCTCCGTTTGGGGCTCTTTAGCACAAATGATCCCCCCCACGAAACCGCCTGGGACGGCTGGCAGCCCCATGTGGAGAACCCAGGTCCAAGCTGACCATGGAAAAAACCACCCCCAGCTTTCCTACCGGCTGCTTCTGCAGCCAAAAATATTTTTATAGTAATATCCACCTATTTACAACCTGCCGTCTAAGAGGTGTTTGTTTTTTTGTTTGGGGTTTTTTTTAATCCCCCCTGAAGGATGCTTTTCAAGGTGCCTTGGGCCATTTTGTGCGCTTCTATGCACTGGTCTTGTCAACAGTCTCTGGAATTGCTGGGAGAATAATATTTGTAAAGGCCAGTGTCTGTGCCGCTGGGCACCCTGAGGCTGGTGGCCAGCGGGCGGGTGGGCGGGCGGGTGGCCAGGAGGAGATCAGCCTGGGCCGCCTCTGAGCCTTCCCCAGGGGAGCATCTGTGGTCCAAGCTGCTAAGTGGTGACACCTCACAGAGGTGGGGGTGCTCGGAGGCCTAGGCCCTCCGAGCCAGTCCTGCTGCCAGGCCAATCTGCTCCGCTCCTTATCCCCAAGCACCCCAGCCCAGGCGAGCCCTGTCGGGGGAAACAGCTTCTACCCGAGGTGCAGATGACTCAAGCTAGCCGGTGCTGGGTGGAGCTCAGCGAGGCACGGGCCTCACCCAAGCTTACTCAAGAGGCAAGAGGGTCCTGGAAGTAGGACCCAGGCAGAGGTCCGGCCCCCTCCCCTCTCCCCACTGGTCCAGGGCACAAAACAGCTGCTGGTGCACACTTGGGCTCCTACCTCTTTTCCTTCGTGTGTGTGAGGGAGACCAGAAAGGGAGAGGAGTTCCAGGCCTGGGAGGCGTTTGCAGCTACCCCTCAGGATGCTGCCTGCGCCCCTCCGAGGCAGTGGAGAAGTGGCTCAGCCTCTATGCCCACGCCAGCTCAGGAAAGAGCGGGACAGCGGCGCCAGCAGCCAGGTCCAAGGAGCACGCTGGCCTGGCTGCATCCTGGGACTCCGAAGCCCCGGCCGCTGCGTGGTGGCTAAAGCAAATCTGGGGGACAGGGACAGTGGGGGGGGGCAGGACCAGGACCAGGATTTCAGAACCGGCAGTTTCCCTCCAGGGGCCTCCAAGGAGCGAGGGTCACATAGAAGGGGCATGGGACCACTCGGAAGGCAGCGTGCTGGCGCAGGCCCATCTCTACCACCCAGTCCATCCTGGCCCTTGCCTAAGGGCCTGTCTAAACTCCAGCCTCTTTTTCTGCACAGCGGGAGAGAAGCCGCAGCTTGTCACAGAGGCCTTTGGGGCCCATACGTGGACTGTGACAACAGAAACGGTGGTGCTCACCCGACTTGGCACCTGCCTGGGTCCCCAGCCCAGCCTCAACAAGCCTTGGATCCCAACTCCTCCTGGCTCCGCGCTGCTGGGCCCCTCTCCACACAGGACCCATCGGGCGGGAAGATAATGTGCTTTATCGGGGACATTTATTATCGACAATTGCTCCACAAATCTCCCTCTATTCACATACATATACATAAGAGTCAGGGAAGATGCCGGAAGAAGCTCCCTGCCTGGTCCCCCATGTAGACAACTTGCCCCCATAAAGATAACAGGGACTGATTCATAATATTTATTTGACAGACATGATATGAACTGTAATAGTCTGCCGGGATTAAAAATATCAGTCCATCTCTGTCATCCACCGCTGTGGTTTAAATATTACGTATGTGGTGCTTCGGCGGCCGGGAGTGGGGCACAGTTATTGATAGCAGCCATCCAGAGGCGACAGTTTGCCCTGAAGGATGGCCTGGTGTTCCCTGGGGCTTGTATGGGCAAACACCACATGGGAAAATGCTGCGCCCCTAGCTGGCGCTCGGAGACCCTGCCTGGTACCTGGCACTCCGATGCTTGGCTGCACATGCAGGAGGGGCTGGCAGGACTCCAGGCTGCAGCTCAGCCTGACAACTTTGCTGGCCTCCAGGTGAGCACCCAGTGCCAGCGCAGGGCCCAGGAGGCCCAGGCCCCACCCTGCCACTCTCCAATCGGTCTGTCCCATCCACTGCCCTGCAGAGCGGGTGGCAGCCCTGCCCCCCGCTGACACTCCCAGCTTAGAACCCTTTCCTGTTCCCATTGCTATGGGGATGAAGTCCAGGCTCTGAGCAGAACTCTCCAGCCAGGCCCTCCTCCTCCCTCCCTGAGTCAGCTTCCTCCTGCAGCAGCCCTGCCCATGGCCGGCCCCTCCTGTCCTGGGGAGCACAGGACGGACTGAGTTCTGCGCCCTCGTCGGGCCGCCAGCACTGGCCGCACCACATTCCATCTGAGGGCTCAGCCCCATCGTGGACACCCGCCCACCACACAGCTCTGCGCCGACATACTGGCTGGGCTGGGGGCCTCTGTGGCCAGGGCTGGGGTCCCAGCTTCCTAGCTCCCTGACCATCCTCTGGTCTTGGGGGACAGAGCCATAGGTTGCTGAAGGCACCTGGCTCTCCTCCAAGCTCCAGGGCAGCACTGCCATCCCTGGTCACATCTCAGGCCACCCACACTGACACAGGCTCCTCCTCTCCCGTGCCTCAGTTTACCTGTCAGAGCAACAGCTTTGTGGTCCAGAGGATCAAGGCCTCTTGGAACCAAGGAACATTTACTCATGGGGGAGACTTTTTAGCCTTGCTTTGGGAAGTACCCAAAGACTTGGTGCTAGGAAAATCGGGGTGGGGCTACTTTTATACTACCCCCAGGTCCGGGTCCAGGTCCAGCCCCAGCCCAGTAGAAACAGCTGCAGTCTCTAGAGGAGCTGGTGCACTGGCTGATGACTTCCCAGCCTGTGGTGACAATTGGCCTTTGTTTTTCCCATCAGCAAGGGTCCCCTTCCCCAAAAGGGCCCTTCTGAGCTAAGACACGGGGAGGGGGCCCGTCTGGAAATGAGGTCACCCAGGAGGAGCGCAGACGGCTGCCCCTGCAGAGGGACACAGTGACCCCAGGCTTCACAGAGAGCCTAGGAGGAGCTCAGGGAACAGCAGCGTGCGGTCTGGAGGTGCAGGCGTGGCCCCTCGCTGCACTCTTTGGGGTCCCCTAGCCCTCCTGGGGCCACTGCCCACTGGGTTCCCAGCCTCTTGGTTCACAGCACCTGTGTGGGGAGCAAACTTCAGGCCCTGTCCCAGCTGCTTCCCTGGATTCAAGGATTCCTGCTGTCCCTCAACCAGGCCTTCCTGGGG